TTATTATGATTTTGCATTATATCATGTTGGTCTGTGCAATCACCATTTTTGTTTTGATTCATATGCTGCGTTTCGGGGGACCATATGGTTGCTGGTAGGGTGCAGTGGTATTGCCATGTGATCTGTGCGTATGCGGGTGTATAGTTTGTGCGCTACTGTTATATAATGTTTGTTATACAATATGTATCAAGTCTTTTTCCCTGTTATTAAATTTGTTTTACATTTCTTTAAATGCATTGGTTATAAAACAATATTTGTTTCAATAATTTGGTTAACTAATCTTTTTACAGATTAACGGTGTGTGTATATAAAAAACGCGGCATGTGCAGTATTTATGTTTACTAAAATTTATAATGTGTGTGCTGGGTGATTGTATGGTGTATGATTTTACCATTGCGTTTTTTCTACAAATTTTTTTAATTAAGTTAACAAATTTTATGCGTGTTAACATTATTGTTATATAATGTGTGGTTATTCTTTATGTATCAACTACCGTTTTTTTCCTCTGTTATTACAACTTATGGGTCTATGCCATTTTATTTTTTTAAAAAAAAACAAATTCTGTTCACAACTATACTGAGTTTTAACATTATTGTTATATAATGTTTCTTATAATTTATGTTTCCACGGTTGTTTTTTTTTTTTTTTATTTCACTGTCATTTAAATTTCTTTAAATGTGTTGGTTATACATCACTATTTGTTTAATTAATTCGGCCAACAAATCTATTCAATATTTAAGGTTTGTGCAAATACCAAAGGCGGCATGTGCAGTACTGTCGAATGTTTATATTTATTATTCTGTGCACTTCAATGCGTTGGTCCGTTCTAATTTATGCTATTTCGTGGTCTGCTTTTTTATTCTATACTGCTTCTTCACTAGTCGTTTCCAAAACGCCTGAATTGTATTTGGTTTTTAAGTTTTATGCCCATTTTATGATTCTTTTATCCGTTGAAATTGTTCAGAACCCTGGTGAATTGTTTGGTGTGAAGATGACCACATTGGACGCTGCGTTGGATGACGTTGTGCACTTTGTTGGTGTTCACCCTCAATGTTCAACCCGCACAGATAGCGTTTTGCGTGTATTAGCTGGTGCACGGAAGTTTATTTCTATGTTTGAGACCCATGAACCTACAGAGCCAGTGTGCGTTGCAAATACGGGCGTTGTCTCGCCGAATAGTGGAGATGAGATCTGGAGTAACCCAGAGAGCTTTCAGGTTGTGGATGATGCGGTTAGGGCGGTACAAGATGGTAGCCATCCCCCAGCAGTTCCACATACGGGGCCATGTGTTGTTGATGAGCAGGATAGGCCTACCATTGATGGTGTTGGGGTGTGCCACCACAGCATGATCGGGTGCCTGTGCAAGAGTCATCGGGGGGTCATGTGGTCGCACCACAAGTTGCTGTAAGTATGCTTGTGTACAAGCGCAGGACAGTTAAGAAGGTGTAGGTTTTATGTTGATGGTATACACAATTTTTGTGGCTACACCTACCATTGGCCTTTTGTTTTGTTGAATGTTAACTGTGGTATGTTAGTGGTTTCGCATGGTACGGTACTTTCTATGTGGTGCATATGTGTTGTATAACAGTTGTACCAACCTTACTAACTGCTAATGTGCAGTATTTTTTGGTCTGTCACACTGAAATTCTACTTTGTTATGCCCCCAATACTCATTTTATTGTTCTTTCTGCGTTCATTAGGGATGTGATGACGGTTCTTCGTTCAGTTGTGGGTTGTCCCAAGATCTCCCTACCCAATGTTGGGAGGTGGTGGATGCAATTGTGCGCGAATATGTGGGTGATACTACCAATGTTCCATCCGGGGGTAGTAGGTCTGCACATTGTGTACCTGTAAGTATTAGTGTGGGTGCAAATTTGTAATCACTACACATCTTTTCGGCCCACAAATATTATCGCAAACTCAATCCTCACTGACCCACAACGATGTTGGTTATAGGGGCGTGCATTGGAAAACCAACTGTCGGTTGCCCCACAAGCAATGTCCGTTGGGGTTGCCGGTACGGACGGGGTCGTGACTGTACGGGGACGGGGGTTAGGTAGTACAACCTCTCAGCACATATTTTCGACTCCTCCTGAGGTATTGTTATTGCCTTGGTATTTTAATTGTATTTTGCATTTTTATTTAATTCTAATTTGTTACCATGTCGTAGCAAAACTCTATGCTTGGTCCGTGCAAGGGCGTCGCATCCAGTTCATCAATGCGTGCAGCACCAATGAAGGCTTCACGACCTGCAGTACAGGAGGTCAATGCGTTGCGCACCATCAATTTCAATTCTTATGCGCCACTCACGCGTACTCGCGCTGCCAGTTTGCAAGTTGCAAATAATGTTGATCCTCAAGCAGTCTATGATTGGGTTGCTCGTACTGCTAATATTGACTTGTAAGAATTTTTGGTTTATTATAATTGGTCCTTCGAGATTTCGATGTACTCTGTTTTTCAATTTACTGCTCTTAATTTTTCAGGACGGCAGAATTATTTAACTACTGTGGCCGTTCTGCTCTCCGGTTCGACTTTGTGTCATTGTTGGGAGGGAACCAAGTGCAAGTGGGTGTGTTGAGTGCTTGGTCATGCATTCTGAACGCCCGTGAGAGTTCCAAACCGGTTGGTTCACCAAAGCGGTTATTTGCATCCCCAACCACAACGGTTAGCCCATCACCTCCTTACTGCTCCACTCTTTTCCTTGGAGAAACCGTTTCAGTTTGTTACTAATATTTTTTCGTAATGCAGTTGTTCTCGGTGGTTCAAAGTACGGCTACATGGTCTAACCGGTTGCGTTTGTTTTCTGCTGCGTTAGAGGCCGATTTGCAGTTGTCACCATATGAGTTTTGGTCGGACATTGACATGGTTAGTGCACGGATTAATCCATTCTGTATTATGCATTTCAGACCTTCTCTATGCGTGCCCATTTGTCTCCTGCTCTGTGGATTCTTTTTTTTATCTTGTGTGCATACACTACACGTTTTTTTTGCAGTTGATCTTTCCGATATTAGATAAGTCGCATTATTACGTCGTTGCTGTTGACGTCCGACGCCAGAAATTTGATTTCCTCGATAACTCGTCTGCTGATGGTGTATCTCTGGACAAGTACGGGGATACCCCGTCTGTGTTGGTATTTTTTTGTCCTTATTCTTTGGTGGTGTGTTACTTGTAAACAAATGGCGCATATTAATATTATAGCCATCCTTGTATTCATTTCTGGTTTTGAACATTTTTCTACCTTTTTACAGAGAGATGTTCTATCGGTTTTCTTTGAGGATGCTAGTTACCAGGAACTTTACGTACAGGTGGTGCAACTAATCCCAAGGAGAGTCCGAATGTCGTGGCGTGATACAAAGAATAAGGTGGATTGTGGTGTTTTTGTCATGCGTCATATGGAGACGTACATTGGTCAGCCTATTGCTTCCTGGGATTGCGGTCTTAGCCGGGGTGACGCACGAGGGTTGCTATCGCTCCGTGTGCGGTATGTCTATGAAATTCTTATGTTTCATAGAAATACGCGTCGCAAAATGATTGTCAACAGTGTTCGTGGTGCTCAGTGACTTAAAAGTGGTGGATTGAAAACGTGTCACTGGCAGTTGTTTACCGCATCTACGTTTTTTCCTCCTTTTATGTTTTGGGATCTCTTAAATAGGTGGATATTTTGCTCCGTGCCCTAACATTACTCAACCGTTTTTCAATAATTAGCTATCTATTTTGTTTACTACGATATTCCAGTGTATATGGTGTGCGTGCTATATACTCTTCATGCTTGATTCTGTTTTCTTTCGTACTGCATCTGCCGCTTTTTACCAAATCACACCACGAATTGCAATAAAAATTAATCCCTAACACCTCTTACATGTCTGCACGGATCAGCATTCGAAGTTGCACTAAAAAAAATGAAACTTAGAACCTAGGTACGTGTTTATGCTCTATCACAACGATTGCTACGTATATAACCTTAACTCGCACACACTGGCCAATTTACACTTACAAATTTCATTGCATGTTCGTTAACACATCCACGTTACTTTTAAATCAATTCAACGAGTCCATCTACACAGTTGTTATCGTCTTCTTTATTAATTACATTTTCAGTAAAGCATTTTGTATTACTGCTAGTACGTCTTGTGCACAAGCTACTGCTCAGACTTTAATATTAACTTGCACACGCATTAAATACCCCATTACAATTCATTCCCCTATACTAACACTTTTTTGTGTATGCTAGACATTCAGACGGTAACATGTACGTATTATCCTTATCTAATCACATGTTCTGTTGTCTTATTTTGTCGGTACCACGTCGTATGATATTTTTAATTTTTTAATATTGCATTTTAAAACACTGCTGGTGCGTGTCCGTATCGGTGCTCAGGCTACAACTATAACGGTTATCGCGCTTGATTAGGCACATCGTATGGATTTATACACTGTCCATTCAAACGTTTACAAGTGCGTGTTATATTTTAAATTCAACATTGGTCCCCATGTTTTCTACGGAACAACCAATCACTTGCACATGCTATCTAACACTAACAATGTTTTCCACCTCTCTAGTTTTCATCCTTTTTTTTCCTGGCAAATCATTAATAGTTTAGCTCCTCGTTATTTTCCTAATCTATTCCCACATTTCGGTTCCCAATTTTGTCGAATTCACGTGGCGAATTAGTTTTATTTTTAAACGCCCTAATGGGTTCTCGGGATTCGTTACAACTTTAACCAAATCATATATATACCGAGTGAAATTCCTAACTCTAACCTCAGAATGCACAAACGTACCAGTATATTAGCACATCAGCGCCCAAATCATTGAATACCATTAGAAAATAAAAAAAAAAAAACCACAAATTATTCAGCAGTTTGTACTTATACTGTGGAATTTAAAACCATGTATTGCATACGCCGTCGTATTAATACGCACAAACTATTCAGTTTAACGCACAAAATATAACGCACAAAATTAAACACAAATTTGCTTCACTATAATTATGGGTTGGCTACTTCCGTGGGCAGGTTCGGCTATTATGGCCATCGGCTACTCCGCATGTCTTGCACGTGCGTTTTTTCTTATGATGCTCCGTCATTGCCGCCTCCCTTGCTGATTTCATTCGCTTTCCAGACCCTTTGGTTTTCGCAACGGGGGGTGGATGAACTTCAATAGTCTTTGGGGTTACGACACCGCAGTACGACTCCATTATTGCACGCTTCCCACTTGCAATCACCTCAGGTTCGTCGTCATCCCCCAATGTTGCATCAAACTCTTCCATGCACAGTCTCATCTCCTTCAATTTTTGGGGTCTCCCTTTAGCCTTGCGCAAACATTTATGAAATATATTCAGTAGTTGTCCTTCCTCATTGTTGCTATTCCCCAATCTCTGGTTTCCATTCTGTTTATCTGCGTCCCGATCAGTGGGGGAGTGCTTCACAGCTTCTCGTGTCCATCGGGGTGTGATATGTTGCGGGGGAATGTGATCGATGCGTTCATCTTTGAGTACGACAAAAACATGGCTACAAAGGAGACCAACTCGTTGGTACATTCTGCACGTGCACGCTATGTTGCTCCCATCTTGCACTATAACTGTGTATCGATGCTCGTTTTCATCCTCCACCACATACGTCTTTAACCCCTCTGCCTCAGTGAATGCTCGTACTCGACATTTAAAACACCCTGCACTTATTTCCTTTTGGACCTCATAAAAAATTGTCAGCGTGTACACTGTTGATGCTGATCGCTCAATGCGTAATGGTGTCTTATAATCTGGTGTATGTCCGATGCAATTTGCGCTTAGTTCTAGGTTGTTCTTTCGCTGTTTTCTCACTGCACGCTCGAACCGGATGAAAAATTCAACGAGGCATAAGTGCTTGTTCATGTTTCCTTGGAAAATCCTATTCTCTGCCTCGGAACGGGAAGTGGTACGTAGTAGCCCACCCATGAACACATCCTCGAAAAATGCGGGAACCCATGCCGCACGATCTTCGTACATACGGGTTAGCCATCGGTTCCCATGTAGGTTGTATTTGGCAATTACTGTTTCCCACCCAATCTCGAATTCTGATCTCGTTGATTCCTCATTCCACACGACACTGTTCAATGCCTGCCGGAACTCATTATTGTTTGACATCTCAGCCCCCACTTTCTCCCTGACCTTGGTCATTATGTGCCACATACAGTAACGGTGTCTACTACCTCCAAACACATTTGCGATTGCAACTTTCATGGCTGGGTCTTGATCGGTTATTATTAAAGGTGGTGCAGTCCCCATTGCGTTCTTGAAGTGTTTTAATACCCAACTGTACGATTCCACATCTTCCTTATCGATCAGGGCCGCTGCAAACGTCACACATCTCTTGTGGTTGTCTACTCCTGTGAATGGGACAAACACAAGGTGGTACCTGGACACAATACATAGCCATCAATAGCCTGTCACGTATTGGATAAAATAAATCATGACCAAAAACTTTAACACACGCGCAGACTTCATCCACAGGTACCTGACATAAACACACGCACATACCTCCCACATACTCAAACACTGCCCTTTAATTACATTATACATAGTTACGCAAACATACACACATCGCGCGATTCAAGGACTAACTTTGACACCTGCATAGACTAACTTATCATGCACATCATACTCTATATTTCCTGTATACACTGTTACCCAAAGATAACATCATCCCTTCCCCATAAATTTGAATCAACACAGCAATCTTTTTTACTTATCTCTATCATACCTATTTGTTTTGTACGTTGCATCAAACGAAACCGCGTCGCCAAACGCACCGTAGTTTTTCCGTGCCATACCATCCGCCCAGAAAACACGAGCTAATTGATCATTTGCGTTCACCTCGTATTCGAAGTACATATCAGCACAATCAGTTTTCTGCTCAAGATAGTTTGATATAACCATTTGCACATCTCCCCACTTCATGTACGCTAATAGCTCCCTCCTGTAATTCTTAAAGTCTTGTTGTGTCGCACCCACGTTCTCCGGCCCACCTACTATTTCAGCATATATGTCGAAACTTTTGCTAGCACCAACGTTTGCTTTTTCACAATTAGTAATGAATTCTTGGTGTGCAATCTCCAATTTGCGGTTGACTTTCATAAATGGTTTGTGTCTTTCCTCGCACAGACAGTGTGTATGTCTTTCTTCAAATTTGTGAACCGTATATCTCCCGTCGCAAACTATCTTCATTACAATTCTAGCTCCGCAACCAACCCTATTTGTGGTCCGTCGTCGCTTCTTCTCCGTACACGCTCCTTCACCCAAAGTTTCTTTCCCCCTATTCTCTTTAAACCCTTGCCTCGAACGCACTACATCCTTTTTCAGAACAATCCCGTAATTGTTCTTTTTATCCGAACTTCGACGCACATCAAATTCAGTACATGCGGCATACTTTGTATAAAATTGGACGCCATCTTCTAACGTATTAAACATCTGACCTTGATATGGTTTGAGGCTACGGTCACATTCCGTATACCAATATTTAGTACCTTCCGGACTAATATCCATTCTGCAATCCCTTTCTCTTTCGTTTGCATCGGGGGCATCAACATTGCACACACCTGTAACATAGTTTGGACAACAACGTATTCTCAGTAAACCACGAGTAATATTTTTATCATCAAAATAGTTATTCTGGGTATGGGATCTTATTTTTGTTGCACATTCACCTTATGTACTTACTCCAATAATATATGTACTTACTCAACCCAAACAACGCTAACAAACCAAAACACATCAGACATAACTTCTGTCCATACAACCTTTTTGAAATTAATGGTGCGTTAATTCCACACACCTTCGTTTCATGTCGCACATACCACCTCACACACTACACTGCTTGGATACTCAACATAAAATTTAACAAAAAACACGCCAAAACAGGAAAAAACTAAAAAACAACACATCTGAACCACAATAGGTGTCTCGACGCACAGACGGATATTGACATAAGCACACCCTAATATACACCAGTAACACTTCAATACATGATGCACATACATGGTTATGGAAAACTGGAATAAAAAAATAAAGATGCACATACCTATGCACAAACAAAAAAAAAAACACATTATATTGATGTCCACAACACCAACGCACACCTAGCACATGCTTAACCCCTATAATGCACATACCCTCAAACATATAAATCATAATACCCGTGAAACATTTTTAAAAACCACACAAATACTTGAATAATCTACCGCCACCGCACCATCAGTGATGATGACTTTTTGCTATACAGGTGAATAATAACATCATTGCACAAACAAATCAACTATCCCAATCTCAACTCATACCATATGTGTTCTAATTCGTAAGTGTGTTCCACTTCATATCTCCAAATAATATGTGTACTTACTCCACTCAAACAACGCTAAAAAACAAAAAACACATCAGAACTAACTTCTTAACTCACCATCTTATTAAAAATAACTGCATGTCATTTGCAAACCCCTACATTTCACATTGCACAACCAATTTTCACTCTACACTACGTGGATACTCAGCAATAAATTTTAAAAAAATAAACGACAATGAAGGATAAAAAAAAAATAAACAAACACGCCTGAACAACATTGGGGGTCTCGGCGCAAAGTCTGATATTCACATAAGCACACCCTACTAAAAACCAATACCACTTCAATACATGATGCACATACCAGTTTACAGTAGACAAGAATACAAAAAAAATAAAAATAAAAATGCACATACCTATGTCCGGCTGCACCATCTTCGAGCTTGTTCTAGTGAAACAACTGCTGCTCCGTTACACTGTATACTGATAGCATGCGTGAAGGGATCATCACAATATCAAGACTATTGCATTACCGTAAATATATATTACAATCCCAAAAATCGGATGATAATCATGGAATATATTCCATTTTATTTGCAACCATAAATACTTATTATATTACAATTACTTATTCACCCTTATGATTATATTACCTCCTAAAATCCATAAAGATTCTATTTCAATCTCACCCTTAAATATTCATTGATCTAAAGGATATGATTAGATCTCATACACCCATCTAACAATGTGACCTCATGGGATCCGGAGCCTATATATATATATATATATATATATATATATATATATATATATATATATATATATATATATATATATTTGTAGCTTATGAAAAATAGATATTAAACTCATGCTTCATATATACTCGTTATGGTTTTTAGACAAAAACCTAATGTTTAAACTTTCAATCATTATTGTCTGAATCGTGGTCCACACAATTGTTCAAAACACATAAATTACATTATTCTAACTTATAAAATACATTATTCTAACATATAAAATATATTATATATTCTAACTCATAGAATACATTATTTTATCTCAAAAAATATTTTATTCTAATACATAAAATAAATTATACATTATTCTAACTCATAAAATACATTACTTTAACACATAAAATACATTATTTTATCCTAAAATATTCATTATTCTAACAATCGTACAAAACAAAGAACTTTTTAAACATCAAAATGACATCATTTTAAACTTTCAGATCGTTATCCACAGAATAATTGCATTAACTTTCCAATGGGCTACTTAAGTCTTCTAATTACCCAACATTGGTGGGTTGTGGCCCATTTATCCTTGATTTCATCTCACAATCGTTATGCTATGGACCGTGTCCAGCATGCATGCTGGACACGGGAAACAGTGTCGTTAGTGGCACAGTTATTTATTTTATTTCTTTTAATAATTTCAGATCGTATCGTTATAGGAGTATATGTTCATAATTTTATTACTATATGTTCATAATTGTAAATTCATAATGTCAGAGCTCTATGTTCATAATTCAATAACTGTACATTCATACTTCCATAACTGTACATTCATAATTCCGTGACTGTACATTCATAATTCAATAATTGTAAAATCATAATTTTCGAAACTCCATGTTCACAATTTTAGAGCTCTATGTTCATAATTTTATCACTATATATTCATAATTGTAAGTTCATAATGTCAGAGTTCTGTGTTCATAATTTTATAACTTACATTCATAATTCCATAACTGTACATTCATAATTCCATAACTGTACATTCATAATCCAATAACTGTACATTCATAATGGCACAAACGAATAACGCCGTTAACGACGAGACAAAATCAAATTATTTTTTTTTTTAACTGGAATGACGCGTTTTCCCTAAAAACGACGTCGTTTTGGACTCGTGTCCACAATGCATTGTGGACACGGGTCCAGGGCATAATTTGCGTTCATCTCATATGTTGGCCTGCCTTTTTGTGAGCCAGCTATTATACGGTTGACTGCGGTCACAAAGCTTTGTGGACCATGGTCCAAAACGGCAGACACCATAATGTATTTAAACTGACACTGTCTTACGTATTATTTTTATTATATTATTAAATGAAACTGTAACTGAATTGAAATCAAACTGTAAAGTGTATAAAAACGAAAGTGAATAATAATTTCACATATTTAAGTGTATATTATCCAGCGAAACAGTAGTTGTATCAAAATGATACTGTAGTTGTGTTGAAATTAAATTGCAGTGCATTTACCTACCATGAGATAAGTTAAAAAAGAAATGTACTGTCTTGAAATGGGTGATTGATCTGAGTAGATGAGCGTAATTCTAGTATTTGAAAGTTACGAGTTCACTTTTTGTTAAGATCTTCTCGGTTGAGTCTGTCCAATAAGATTTTTCTAGTGCGAGTTATATATTTATCTCATATGAGAGGGTAGCGTTACTTTAAAATACAATCTGAAAAGTAGAATTAATAATTTGCAATTTGGATGATGAAAAGCAAGAATAGATACTGAGAGTATACCAAAAGAGCATAATGAAATAATGATGACAAAGGTGATGGATTACTTCATCACGGGGCGTACAGAAGGCAGAACTATCATCATCATCATCATCTCTTTGATCAAATAAAATGCTCCAAATTAAATGCCGCTTTTCAAGTGTTTGAATCTCATTGAAAATATGAATGAAAAAAATGTACAGGATGATAAAAGATGTAGACAGATTCCTTGTACACGCATAAAGACTAGGTTTAACTGATAGGCTGATTGCGTGACTCATGATTTATCTCTACAGCAACTTTAGCGGTGGGGTTTTGTAGAGTTAGGATTAATTCAACGAAGCTGAGATGTATGTATCATAGAAGGTTCCCTAGCTAGGTACATGGAGTCTTGGTCAAGCAATATAATATATGCAAAGCAGACATGATGATCAGTATATATGTAAATACTGGAGTCTGGAGAACACTACTTTAGTTTAATTTGCAGCTTTAAGAAAAGGGGATAGTGAAATGAAGTAATCCCCTGCCTCACATATGGAGATGAAACTAAAGCTGTTTCCATGCATTTGTGCACATGGTTAGGTGATATATGTTTGATGCAAATTAAAGCTATGCCCTAAAGAAAAATGTAGAAGATAAAGCTCTCGAATTGGAATCAAATCATGGCCCTTCTATGCTTTCTGGTCTGGCAACAATTAAGTTTCTCCTTTCTTTTTCTTTCTTTTCACTCCAATGGAGGGAGGCTTCATCTCATCTCCATGATATGTATCAATTTCATCTCATCAAGCTAAGCTAGCTAGCACCGACTCCCTATGTTAGTTAGTTGTGTTTCTTCTTATTGTATAATGATTAAAGATTAAAGATTACTGGCCTGGCATAGTGTTGTTTATGGATCTTTTAGCAGTATTTGGCAAATTGTAATATTTGATTTGTGAAAGTGCTTTCGAGATAGTGACCTCCATACAATGTTGTAAAAATCGGCTGCCTAGCGGCTACACACTCCTAGGTTGAGGAGATTTTAGCCCTAGATAATTTTTAGTTAGCTGACCAACTAACCAGCCGATTAGGCACTAACTCGGCCGAGTTGAGCATCTAACACAACTGAGTCGGGCACCTAACTCGACTAAGTTGGTGCCTAAGTCGGTCGAGTTGCCGCTCAACTCGGTTGAGTGAATTTTTTTGCCTACTCAAGTTACTCATCTTCTATATTTCTTCAGTTATGTACTCAATTAACCATCTAACAAATGCACTTGACTAGTTTGAGGGATTATAACAATCTAACAACTCCTAGCCCTAGTAGAAAAAATGAAGATAATATACTTGGATTACTAGGAGGCGCCTAAGCACCACCAGGCACTATAGGCTTAGGTGCTAGGCACCCCGGACAACCGACTAACGCCTAGCGCCTTATGCAACATTGTCTCCATACCATGATATGACCTTATTAGTTATTCTAATTATTAAGTCAATCAATTTAACATTAAAAGTACATGTATGTAAATATGTAATTAATTAACATGTACGCTGAAGAACAACGAACGAAGTAACAAAATCATATATGAGTGGATGCAAATTTTCGATTCGATGGATGATATTATTTTATGTTTTTCTTTCATTATCCCATGATGAAAGCAGGCCGGGGTAGAATTGCACGGGATATTCTTGAGTCTTGAGGCTAAAAGGGGAAAAGGGTGTGAGAGAAGTGCAAATGAAGCCAAGAAAACATGAGCATCAGATGCTGGATGGATGAGAAAATTTGGGTCTCTGGATCGGACATTTGTACTCATCATGCCCGACCCACCACAGATTTCTTTTCAAAATATTTAAAATTAAAAACAACAAAACAAAAATATTATGATTTGGTATATATGTCTCCATCCATCTATGGTTTGGTCCATTTGGGATTTTGTTACATGACATCTACGGCATGTCCATTAGATTCCCTTAAACAAATGGGTATGTATGTTTTCCATTATTTCATCAACTAAGGAGTTTGCACACGTGGATACTCACTGTTTGGTCGTCTCAAAAATATTATAACAATGAATAATAATATGGATCATGGATGATGGTGATAGTTTCTTGGGAATGAGATCAAAGAGATTACCCTTTACATTGTATGAATAACTAGTTTTACTTTGATTTATGACACACTTTGCGATCATTATCTAAATATGCGTGTTGAAAATTTGGATTAATAAGTCAATTGCACAAAAATTAAATTTAAAACGTCAAAAATTTAGACTAATAGGCCAATTTCACAAAAATTAAATTTAAAATTTTGTAGTTATATTGTCAAATTAACAGTTCAACTAATTTTGCTAGAGTAACCAAAATAAATATTTTACTAAATTATATGATGATTTATAGCATAACTTTTACTTGCTAGTATAAAATTTCAACTCATAATTAAATCAAGAAGTACAAATTCACATGGGGAACACATCATCCTAGTACCACTAGTCATGTTGCCAGTTGCATAGTTTCTTAAATATTATTGACAAAACCTAATACATATCTCTTCTTTATACTTCCAAAAAAAAAAAAAAAAAAACTCTTTTTTATATTTGTTCGATGATCTTTCAATAACCAATGTTTTCTCTTCCTTTTCTTTTTAAATACAAATCATTAAAAACAATCTTTATCCAACACATTTACTGAGTAAAAGATTTTAGTCAATCAATATATCATCACATAATTGTTAAGTAGAAAAATATTATATATTGATATACTTACAATTCAATTGAAAGTAATTTGAGTTTTGATCTAATTTATGAATTTTTAATCAAAACCTATATAAAAAAAGACCAACAATAATCAAACACATAATTTGTAAGAACATCCACAAAGGGGTAATAAGTATGACTTGTGTCGGGTCAATATGTGCCTTTCACACCCCCGGTCGTCAGTTGACAACCACCCTACT